TATTTTCACGAACTTAGTTTATTTTTACGTTGAATTTCCTTTTTGGGTTTGTATCACTCGCACAAATAAGTAAATCCCTTCGACCCGGGTAGTGTGATACAGGATCATGTGATGCTAGACGGATCGAACATATAATGTGGCGGATCATAATGAAATCCAAATTATAATATAAAATCTCGAAAAATAAAATTTTTTGGGTATAAGTGGGTTTTAGAAGGTTAACAGGTTGAGTAGAAAATGTAGATTTCATTTTAAATTATGATCCGCGACACTAACTATACCATTTTCTTGAAGTTTAAAAATACAGTAATATAAGGCTCCAGCCCTATAAATGCCACCGGTTTATTACTAGTTAAATAAATTTTGAATTACATATTATGAATAAAATACAAACCAATTTTAATATTTTCTTTAAGCGGCTGAATGTAATTTTAAACCTGATATTAATAAGCTAACGGAAATATTTGCTGAAGCGGCATAGGTACGTACGTAGTTCGATATATTCAAAGTTTCAATTTGAAGTTTCTTATTATTAACGAAATAATAGCTTGTTCACAATATTAAAAACGTGTCTGTAACAAGTTTTGTATCTCTCTTTTTTTTTTTTTTGCAGGACGAAAAGACAACGAAAATATTATGCTAAGCTAACGCTAATGACTAGTTCCGAATGTTCTTATCGTTCCGACCTATCTTTCCGGACGATCATCCGATCCCAACCTCATCAGCCGTAACGAATAGATCAGATCAGATCATCCAATCAAAATTTTGGTGAATATTTAATATACTTTTTGACGATTTAGTTTAACTTTCAATGCCATACAAAAATGGTTACGTCCTTTGCTAGAGGTTTCTTTCGTCAGAAAGCTTTTAACTTTCACCAGGACTTCGTTATTCGTCATTCACCGGTATTAGGCTTTGTCTTTCGTCATCAAGTAAAAAATATTTCGTTTGATAGCCATGAACCGAAGCAATTAGATAACTATGATCCGAAAAAATTTGACGAAGGTTTTTTACCAAAAAAACTCAAAAAGAAGAAAAAAGTACCACCTCCACCGCCACCAATTATTAATATTCCTGGATTCGTTCGTATAAGTGGTGCAAGACATAACATGGTTGTTTATTTTGAGGAGTTGCGTCGTGACAACTCAAGGAGAAAGAGGCAAGGTTCCTTAATAGTACATGGTGAAAAATATATAAAAGATCTGATAGCAAAAGGACATCACATAAAGAGCATTGGAATTACAGCACCAGAAGATATAAAATCTGTTGATGAAATTTCTGGCTCATCTGGAGAAGTTTTTAAAAACATTGATCAATTCCCGGCAGATCGTTATTACGTAACGAGTGTCGAATGGACACGTAAAATACTCGGTGGGGAAGCACGCGTTAATAATAGAGAAATATGGGCTGAACTTCCAACACCAAATATTTCATTCCCACAAAATATTTCAAAGTTATTGGTATTGGATCACGTAATTGATGCTGTAAATGTGGGAATGCTAATTCGTGCTGCTAATGCCTTGCGTTGGGATGCCAGCTTTTTTATAGCTGGTACCATTGATCTTTTTGATGAACAAGTAATTCGAACATCTCGCTGTACATCTGTAACGTGGCCGTCAAAAACTGGATTTTGGCATGACTTGCACGCACTGACAAAGGAACATGATTTAACATTGGTCATAGCAGACACTATGCCACAAAATAAATCGATCCAAAGTCAGAACAATATTTGTTTTTGGAATCCGACCACACAAGAAATTTATAATGAGAAACCATCTTCGCGTATTGCACTTGTGTTAGGCAGTAAGATGCACGGTGTTACTTATCGGGATGCAGGTCAAGATATTATACGTGTATCGATTCCTATGATAAATAATGTAAATTCGTTGAATGTCGCGATGGCTGGAAATATACTAATGCACGAAATAAATCGTCTAATGAATACTAACAAAAAATGTATTGAAAATAAAACATAATAATTAAATATTATGTTTCGATTATGTGGTACAAGTATTTATTATGAAATCTCGGTATCCATCTAGTGCAGCTTTATTTTTTAATTCATTATCATTCTCATTCACTTTGTTATCCGAATCATAAAATGAATAATCACTATCAGAATAGCCTTAGTTATCACTTTTTCAGACCGCTTGAACCAGTGATTGAAGAATCTTGGAAATGTAACAAAAGAAATTTAACTATTAAAAAACTCAGATGGGTCAATACGGTTAATTATCGGTAGGGTTGGGGTACGGGAAAAAATTTGGGCATGCTCCCTCTTATTGTGCTCAGGACATGCCTAGTGATCTTGGCCGATAGTGAAAAAATCGGCTAAAAGCAAATTAGCGGCTTAGCCGGTCGATTTTTTTAAAATCGGCTGATCGATTTTATTACTAGGATTGTAGCATACCTAAAATATGAGCAAGATTGAGGCCAAAAAATTTTCAGTAAAGTCCGAATTAAATGGTGTAATTTTAAAATCGGCTAAGCTGGTAAATTTATCGGCTTAGTAATAGCCGAAAAATTTTGATCGGCCAAAATCACTAGACATGCCTTCTATGCTAAACCTCTATGTATAACCAAGAATTATGCAGCTACTATAAGAACACAAAACTTTTGTATTCAGATGTAACTTCTATGTTTTGTTTCTAATCTTGGAATCTGATATATAGGTTGCTATACAAAATTTTTAGAGGTATTCTTGAGGCAGCAAGATTTTGTAGCCAATCAGCATACATCAATTCACGTGATCAAGATTTATAATCACATGATAAATGCGTGCCTTTTGAACAAGAACGATGATTTTCTGCGGTGATAAAATGCCAATTCCGTCTGTGATAAAGGATGGATTATATAGAGTTAGCTGGCATTACGATCCGAAAATTCCGGCCAAAAAAATTTAAAAATTAATGTTGGCCAGAGGATTACGATGGTTGTAAATCCTAAACTCAGGCTATGAATTTTAAGATTACAATTTTATAAGCCTATTTCGAGTGGCAAGGCAATCAGAACAGGGGAACGTTCAATGCTTCATGAGTTTCAAAATAATAAAAAAAATACACATACTTCGACTCTCTCTAAACCGAACAAGCTGTTCCAAGAGATTTTGTTCAGTATAGAGTATTTTTATACGGAACGTTCGGTATATAAAATTGTCAATTATATGCGTTTCATGTGATTATAGTTTTTAACGTTAGATCACCATTACCAAGTCGAATTCGTGTTAAAGCGCAAGATTCAAACAGTAATTGTGTGATTTCTAATTCAAGTCTAATAGAAATTAATTTTTATAAACACCAAGTCAGGTTAATATTTTTACAAAGTATCTAAGCGTTTATTATCCGGAGCGTAGCTGAGGATATTATGGGGGAGTAATAGACCAGATTTTGTGTATGATCTTATCAACATATCAACCAAGGTTACCCCCGTTAATATCAACCCTAAGCCACAAACCCCGTTAATATCAATCCTAAGCAACAAACCAAATTTTTATAAATTTTTATATATGAGTGCGTGAGAATGAAAACCTGTAACTACCTTTGAAGATTAAAAAATAAAAAAAAAATGAAAACCTGTAACTGATCATAGTCAATCATTATAATCAGTTCCAGGTTTTTATTCTCACGCACTCATATATCAAAATTCCCTCATACATATCAACTTTAATACGTATGATTTCTCGTTAATATTACTATCAACATGATTTAAAACCAATTCAAATAGGTTGATATTAACGAGGGCACGCACCGGATATCTAACAGTATCTGTTTTCATAGTATTAATATTTTCTATGGTAGTTTCCGCAAAGCCCCCATATTTGTTTTGAGCTTTTAACAGACTTGTTCATGAAGCGTTTGAATAAAAGCTCATGTATACTAACACGTTACCCTTATCGAATGGTTGCTTTTAACTTTTCACTGGTTTTTATCATTCAACGTTCAGAACTTGTAGTTTTTGGTTCGTAATTACTTAATTCTAAAGGTTTACATAAAACCATCTGAATTGTGTAACGTGTTTCTATTTTTAGGTAGCAAAATCAAAATCGAATTTTCGAGTTTTATCAGCATTGAATTTTCACGCATCCACTTCGCTTTTTTCACACCGTCTTTTTCAACTTCATTTTTTTCACACGTTTTTTCACATTTCGATGTTTTTATATTTTATTGTAGGTTTTTATTTTCTTTATTCTGCTCTTACATTTTTTTTGTTCGGTTTTTAACTTTCCTTTATATTTTTTTTTCACTTAGTTTTATTTGAATTTATTAAAAAAAACAAGTCTAGCATTTCGGTATTTTGTTTGTTGGAACTAGATATTGCGGGGAAACTGTTCTCCTTATGTGTAAGGCGTGGCTAATTTCTAGGTATAGTTAATATTGTATTAGCTAATAATTAATTAATTTACTTAATTATTTTTATTTTTATTTTTTTAGATTCGCTCACGTTACTTTGATACTCAAGACGATGCGGGTAGATTCTTTTTAGATTCGCACATGTGCATTTTAATATCCGGGGTTCTTTTTTATATCTAGCGAAAACATAAGGCTGTTATCGCTCATTAAGGACTACTAAATCTTATGGTGTAACAAATTACCTTGGTTCTTATACGTTGTCCATTATTGCCCAAGGGCCAACTGCGCGGTGGCAAAAATGATACCGGTAGCGTACTAAAAGACCACATAAAATATTTGACGTATTTGACTATTATTTATTAATATTTCTTTTACAAATGGTTCCTTTAACGATAATGAAGATATACTTTTGATATGCAAAAAAGTCGTCAATATCGTTGAAAACCAGTCCGATACCATCAAACTATTATTAGAAACATCCAACACAAAAAAAAAATTTTATACATCAAAAGATGTTATTTTGTCAAAAAAAGATAACTGGTGTATATAATGAATAAATTAATCAAGTGAGCTACCATTGCGATGAACAGATCAGCGAGTTACAAACCATCTTTTTTCTTCAAAAATTTGCTATTGATAAAGGTCGCTTAAGCATTACTTTTAATTTTTTACATATCAAACATAAACAATGAATTCTCAACAAATTTCTAACTGATATGTAAAATAGCCACTTTATTTTTAATTCTTGAAGCTTTTGATATGAACATAAAATAAAAACACTATCTTTTAGCATTTAATCAAACCATAATGAATTCCACTATTTCATTTTTCATTCAATAAAATTTAAATATTAAGATTCGCAGGAAAAAAAATTTTTTATTTCTTGTTGCTGTAAAGCAATTTTCGCTAATAATTGATTTTGTTGCTGTTGTAACAAAAGATTTATAGCTATTATCATAATTCCTGGAACACCTGATAAAATTTGCCGAATGATTTTTCGGCCGATTCGGTTAAGTTATTGATTTCGGCATGATAGGTAGAGATGGGCAAATCGTGGTTTCTCCAAACATCCCTAGGTGTCGCGGTTGATCCTCGATTTTGATTGGCCAACGGCTGTTAGGAGGGAAGCGGTGCCAGTCTAATAAATTTCGCTATCACGTGATAAGATGATTTCACCACCATACATAAACTTTAACTACCACTTATCACTATAACGCAATTATTGTTATTATATAGTAAAATTGATTTAATAATGATAAATGATTAATAATCATTATTTAATTATTATTTTATGAATTTTTTTCTTTTGCGTTTGTCAT